AAAAACGGCCGAATAGTCGGCTTATCCGATCGCTCGGCCACTAGTCGGTACATCCCTATTACAGATGGAAATTTCAATAAATGACAAGTACAAACATATGCATGTTTCATTTGTTATTCAACGCCGGCTATGTTAGGGACAATAATGGCTGAACCATCCTCATAAGTTTAATTATATATCTACATACTTATTACATACTTGTCAAGATAAGACTGATTTTCGCAAGTAACATACCCTCTAAGAAAATAAAGGGCGGGTGGGCGGAGTTAGTACTTACCAAAATAAGACTGAATTTGGCAAATGACCTACTCTCTAAGAAAATGAAGGGTGAGTCGACGGGGCTGATAATTACTACTGATTTTGCCAAATGACATGCCCTCTAAGAGAATAAAGGGCGGGTGGGCGGGGCTACTACTTGCCAAGATAAGAGTGATTTTGGGAAATGACCTACTGTCTAAGAAAATGAAGGGCGAATGCACGGGGCTGGTACTTACTAAGATAAGACCGATTTTGCCAAATGACATATCCTCTAAGAAAATCAAGGATAGAGGGTATATCATTTGACAAAATCAGTCTTATCTTGGCATGTACTAGCTCCGTCCTTCATTTTTTTCGAGGATATGTCATTTGGGAATATCAGTTTCATCTTAGCAAGTGTTAGTGTCGCCCACCCGGCCTTTATTTTTTTAGAGAGTAGGTCATTTACCAAAATTAGTCTTATTTTGGCAAGTACTAGTATGTTACTTGGCAATATTAGTCTTATCTTGGCATGTACTAACCCCACTCACCCGCCCCTTATTTTCCTAGAGGGCTAGTACTTGCGATAAGACTGATTTGCTAAATGATTTTTTTGCTAAAAGTTTGTCATTGTTGATCTACTAATTAAAAACCATGCTGATGCTCTGATACATAACTTCTCACGACAGGATAGATATAAGATATAAGAATGTAGAATTAATTCGAAAATTTTAGACAAATTGGAAAGGGGAGAAATCGGTCTGTCATTTTCACTTTGGATGCATCACCGAACAAAACAGGATAGATCCTAAAATCCTTCCAGTTTGTAGGGAAAACCCCTGTTTCAAAAGATTTATTAAAAATATTAATAGAAGTGGCTTAACAATTTGGAATTTACAGTCCTTGATTATGAAGCTTGGGATCTGATCAGAACCTGATGTCATACCTAGTTTCAGTCTAGTGATCTTAAATATAATTACGACGAATGAGGTAGAATTTTGATTGTCAGCTAAATAATATCCAACAAGAGGATGCGATTCAGTATAAGTTGATTAAAGAAATTTCCAAAGGCATTTACAATTTCAATAGAATTTTCGAACGCGTTGACCAAAAAAGAATTGGCCTGGAATTCTAGTTTTACCTTTTTAGCATTGATGTAACTCCAGAATTGCTTAGGATCATGATGTAGATTGATTTCAATGTTGTTAATATACGGTTTGTAAGCGACATTTATTTGCTTTTTCAAAAGTGTCCTAGTTTCTTTATTACTTCACTGATGTACCAAGATGGATAACACAGCTTTTTTGACCGAAAACAGGTACATACATGTTTACGAAACAAATTAAACAAAATATTGTAAAAACATTCAACCATAAGTTCTACAAAGAAAAAAGTTGATAGAAATGACCAATCAGTAGAGAGTATGTCGTTACAAAGAAAGATGAAGTCAGCTCTACGAAAGTTAAAGGTTCTTTGTTATCATTATCATTGTCGCCTGTGGAAAATTTACTGATTTATCAACAGAGAAGCTACATACTAAAGAGTATTAGGTGATATTTGTCTTCCGTTACCATAGGAGTCTCACAGCGACTGACTTTCCATTGAGTATTGGAACTCCTCTTTAACATTTTCACTGGGTTTGCGTTAGGCAGTGTAAAGTATTTTATCACAGCTGTGGCGGAAGCTTGAATGATATAACAAAACATTCATATTAATTGCTGGAAAGTAAATACCAGATTGGCACTTTTCTCCTCTACTTTCTACTTTGTTGCATCTAGTTATTGATATTTTGCATCACCACCAACAAAATCATTTTTATAGCAACAACTCTTTTCTTTTCTTCAATCAATTTTTTGTGTTGAAATTCCCTGTCTAACTCCCAAGGTTTGTCAGTTTTTTGAAACTTTTCAAAAGTCCCGGGTGACTTGTTTCATTTTCATTTTCAGATTCGGATGAAGCATATTCAAGAACATTCGAAAATATAGAGCAGTTAAATTAAAAAAATCACTGTCATATGCATTACAGTGGGACCTAACTCCCTATAACCTATAATTGTTATCCTATATTATTTATTAGACAAACGAAAAAGCTTTTAAATGAGGTGTTATTCGACTACTTTAAATTTTTGCCAAGGGGGCTACTGGACTTTCCATTTTGTCAACGCGAAGGCTACGTGTCAAATTTTTGATCAAAATACGCATTGTTGGTATATTTTATCTATGAAAGTCAAAATTTATACTTATGGGGACTATATCCATCACTAACCAAGAAACAAGGCAACTTCCCGAGAAATAATGAGGTTATGTGTATATTAACTATAAAAAACATCATAATTTTCTACCGAAACTGTTCAATTTCTACTGAATATGATTTCTACTGTACATTTAATATTATCAACTAAGCTTTGGTTATTTTTATAAGACAATGATACAAACATATCAAAAAGAAAAAGATTACTGTAATATAAAATTTGTTACATGTAATTTATATTTTCAAATGAACAATTGTATAACATAATGGTAAAATTAACTCATCAGAAAAACCTGACCAGAATATTTGTGCCATTTTAAGAATCGGTTATAAAAAGTGTAGAATACCGTACACTAAATATACTTATAACCAAAAATACTTTTTATATAGGATGTACCAAATTAAAGTTACCATTTAAATTGAAACAAATCCTGTATAAGACGGGTCATAAATTGACATTGTTAAATAATTTTCTGGTTTATGGAAATAACATAACGCAGGAAATTAATGTTTAAACCTGAACCCAACACGCTTTGCTATGTATGAAATTTAAAGGTAACATCAAAGTGATAATTAAGGTATATCAAAAGCGTATAATGTATTTCGTGTATTTTTTTCACCCCGTACACCTTACGCAGCTTAATCTTGCTCGTTTTTCCCACCCACACCCGAATTACCTCGCACCAAAATATTTTAATTAAAGTTTCTCGTTTAAGCAATTCCTCATTTCGGACGCAATCGAGCAGTTTATTAAAAAAAGCGCCCCTCCTCCAAGCGGGGTTTCCGGTCGAGAAGAATCGCTCCGAAATAATTTCCACGTAAATAGGGGTGCAATATTTTCCGTTTCCGTGAGTGAAATAAGAGAAACAGCCCCTTCGCATTGTTCGGATCCGTTCCGACGCTTCCCCTACATAAGTTCGCGCCGTCGCGGCCAATCGCGCCCCTCGTCGATCTTCATTCCAGCCGCCGCAATTAGATGGGTCGTTGGCCACGGTTCGGGGGCGGCGGTGCGCTCGACCCCCGAGGGAGACTCGCCGCTCCAGATGGAAGACAGGCGGAACGGAAGATGACGGCGAAAATGGTAGCTCGTTTTATAAGGACCAATTTACCGAGCTGGATTCATATATCTCCAAAACAAAGAAGAGCTCCGGCTATGGAGCCATTTATATCGGCGCAGCGGCGGTGCATTGGGGAAAACGACGGATGAGAGGTGGATGAAGGACGGGGAGAGTTCTCTGGGGGCAATGAGAAAAACTTGATTAAATTTAATTGCGGGAAAATGGCTTTTTTGGAGTGGGATTTTTTGTAGGGAAAAGTCAGGTTGAGGTTGCGTCATTGCGAACATTGTTGCATGTATTAAAGGCGGTGGAATCGAAACCTGTTTAAATTAGTTTCCTTAAAAAGATAAACTACGAAGAAAAGGAAGATTTGGTGTAATCAGAGCATAGGAGTCACAAAGGCGATCAGATTTAGATTTTATTGCGTGGTGTTAAGTAATAGATGATACAATTAACGATTTTACTAGAAAGGTAACTTCTTTAAAAAAATTTCCGCCAGAAAGTGAAAACAAATGAACAAACCAAAAATATGTCAAATATTGACGTCATAAATTTCTTAGAGTGGAAACTAATACAAACTGCTTTTTTAAATTTTAATTAAAGCAAATTAAGTTTTAAGACCTAAAAATTAAAATTCTTCAATATTAACAGCCTTTAAATAAAATGAAAACTGGTCAAAAATTCAACAATGACCAGTTTTGGATAATTTTATAAATCTATGTAGACGACAATATTTGGAACCTAGTGCCCCCCATAATGCGAATTTATTATACAGGATTGCTAAAATGTATGGAAACGATTAAATATCTCAAGAACCGATTGTACAAATCAACTGAAATTAGGTATAGCGGTACAAGAAGTCCTTTAAAGTGGTCCGAAAATTGGTCAAGTTCATATTTTTTTATTAAGAACTGCACACTAGACAAGAATATAAATTAGGAGGTCCCCTGGGCTCAAGTTTGTTAATTCGAAATATATTTTTTCTAAAACGATATTCCTTATGTACTTAGTTAAGATAGAACGAAACCAGATCAGACGCAAGCCTTAAGTACCTGAATTTAGTTATTGTTTTAGCGTATTAGCAAAATTTTACCAAAGAAACCAAAACATAGCGCCAAATTATTGTTAATCCAGAAATAAAGTAGTACCTACGCCACACTACAAATTTCAGCTATCCTATACATAATTAACAAAATTTTGAGATGTCGTCATCACTTTTTTCAAGTAGATGAACAGGCAATTTTGGTCCCGTAAAAGAGAGTCTACTTTTCTTGATAAAATTAAATGTCCCACCAAATTGTTCTTGAACTTTCCAATCTATCTTATAAATTTCTGACGAACAATGTCACAGATTTTTCTTCTCAAACAATCTTCTTTCTTGCGCGAAATACTCATAATTCATTTACAAAACTGAATCTTTTTCATCACAACTAACACATTTTCTCCTTGTTTCAGGTGTGGTTCAAAAATCGACGTGCCAAGTGGCGAAAACGCGAACGCAACGCCATGAACGCAATGAACGCCGCCGCCGAGTTTAAAACGGGCTTCGGCACCCAGTTCAACGGGCTGATGCCCACCTTCGGCGACACAGACACCCTGTATTCCTCCTACAGCTACAACAACTGGGCCACCAAAGTCCCAAGTCCCCTGGGCACCAAGCCCTTCTGGTCGGTGGTGCCGCCCAACCACCACCAGAGCCCCGTCAACTGCTTCAACGCCGCCACGTCGGTGGCGGCAGCGTCCATGTCGGGGGCGGCCGGCACCATGCTCCCCGGAGGCATGAGCTCTGGACTGACCAGCACCCCGACGGCCGTGGCGCCCCAGCCGTGCCCTTACACCACCCCCGCCAACCCCTACTCCATGTATCATCACCGGGCGGCGACGGAGCCCTGCACCGCCATGTCCTCCAGCATAGCGTCCTTGAGGCTCAAGGCCAAGCAGCACACCGGATTCGTAGGGTATTCGAGCGTTAGTCCAGTGAGGTCCAGTTCGGCGGGGCTTTCTGCTTGCCAGTATGCAGGAAGCGGAATCGGGGTGAGCGAGAGGCCTGGCTGAGAGCACGATCTGGCCTTGGTGGCCCAATTAAAACACGAAGACCAAGACGATTGATAAGATAAGTGCGGGCTGTTTGAACAAGCTGCTTTGTTGTACAGTCGGTTTGCCGGTGATAAGGACGCCAAAATGGCAGGCGAATTGCAGTGTCCATTCCGCGGATTTAGTTAGGCGTAATTTTTGACTAACCCTAATTTTTTTAAATAGTTTTAGTATTATTTTTACTGGATGTGGAGACAGGTATTCATTTTAGCGACGTGTTAAATGTTCAAGTTATCAGAAGTGAATGAATTTTGGATTTACCAAGTATCTCAAAGCCATACAGCACGCTTCTATTTTTTGACTATGAATATACAGAAACGGATTATAAACATGATTCACAATTTAATGTCTTTTACTCGTAGTCAATAATCTGTCAAATGCCAGTCTTTGCATTCTACCCCATCACCTACATAAAACAGTTCGGTCATTAAGTGCCGATTACACCGCTGTAGATTCGTCAAGCAGGCTTAGAAAGTATTAACCCAAATAGACGGAGTTTACGACATTTAATAATTTTGTTAACCACCAACTTATGACTATATTTCAGACCAAAAAAAAAAACGTGGTCTAATTTATTCATGTTTGTCAAGCTCGATCAGGCAAACTTTTAGGTGTGTAACTATGCCTTTAGTAGAACACTAGTTTGCACAAAATTCTTTCGCCTGGAGAATATCAGTAACCATTTCGATCTGATGATTGTTCTTCTGGATTCTTTATATTAATACACTTCTTTTTGCATAGACGACTACAGTACTATTAGTTACTTCCAAGTTTATGGTAGGTGCATTCATTTAAATGTGAGTATCATAATGTTACATTGACGTAATGATACGATATCCACGTCAAAACTGTCAAAACAAGAACAAACATACCAACTGAAATTAAAAAATAATAATAAACAGTACTTGGATTGGAGTACAGGATTGTACGGCTCTTGAGATATTTGTGAAAACATAATTTACTCTTAAAAATGAAATAAAACCAATATTTAAAATATTGTTGAAATAAATAGCCGTCTTTGTAGAAAATCGAGTTGAAATACCTATTTCCACAAACATTGTACGCTTGTAAAAAATTATATGAATCACATTTAGTAATAACTGCGTTTTTGACTCGGTGACGCTTCATATTTACAATAAAACCATTGGGTTTTTCAAAAAAAAAACCTGAATCCCCTTTATTAATTGCGCCTAACTAAATATTTGTCGTTTCGACCCTTTCCCTTTTCCATTTGTCAGGATAATTAATTATCTGCTGTGCAATAAAACGTACAGTCGTCCTTTCCATGTTGGCACCTGATAATATAAATTTTATTTGTTTATAAATAGTTTAGTGCACAGGCTGGTAGGTAATTATTTCAATGGCAAATGCGAACGGGCGTTAATCGATTAGTTCGAAATTAAGACTTCCATAGAGCAATATCTGGTCTGCGTGTTGTATCAAAATTTGTAAATAAAAATTCTAGTTTTGATGTCGATTTGTAAAGTAGATGATTTATTCCGTTTGGGGCGCGTTTTAAAATTATAAAAAATAACGTAGTGTCTAGTAATTAATAACGTAAATTATACCGCCCCTCACCTGAGTTTTAATTAATTGTGAATTATCGCCATGTAAAATAATACCCAGACTTCCACGTGCCATACATTTAATTTAGTTTAATAGGATTCATCGTTCGAAATGAATGTTTTCTGCTCAATTACACTAAAGTGATGATGCAAGATTTTTTTGTTGAGTATGTTATAGTTTAGGTATTACATTTGCAATGGTGTAGTACAAAGTTCTAGCCAAATATTATATTTTATGGTCGTGCCAAATAATTTCCAAAGATTTAATTGTTTAAGTTTATTGTTCTTTATTAAAGGAAATAGATGAGATTGGCGGTGGCCCTTTTTGTAGGCCATCAGTACAAAGGCTGCAAAGTGCAATGTAATATAGTAGTAATCTGATGCGTGTTGTGAACAATCGAATGAATGAGAGCTGTTTAAGTACTTACTTATTTGTAAGATATTTGAATAGATTGTATAGTGATATCCCCACAAAACTATTGTACCTATCTCCTACAATTATACTCTGTGCATATCGTTTGTAACTGTTTGAACATTTTCAATCATCTAGTCACAATAAAATTAATCCATACTTACATGCATTTTTTTTTTTACACAAGAATATAGTTTTGACAGGTAAGTAAACAATTTAATTCAAAGTGTGTACAATTTTTGCAACGAAATCTAAAATTTACCAAACTAACACAGTTTTAGTACGTAATATTTACACAAGGAGAAAGTTTTTCATTAACTAACTTTAATATAAACAGATTATCTTAAGTGCTTTCTCTTACACAATTTCGCAAGTATTCTCCTCCTAATGTCTTATCAGAATTACACGCCTGTAATTCTAATCAGAAACTAAAGTAGAATATTGATTTTAGAATTAAAAAAACTTATTACTTTTAATAGTATTGATATCTGACACCATTATTTAATTACAAAAATTAATTGCTCCATAGATCAACAGAATTTTTGTAAGAGTTTTGTTACTATATTTTTCCACTTTTCTTGTAGAAATGAAAAAATAATTCTAAAAGTGATAGAGTTAACGTCATACAAAGTTCTAGAGACTCAAAACAATATTATCAAATCACATAAAAAAGAAAAAACTAAAACCGCCTTATCATTTGTTAAGAAATATGGTACTCCCGACTTCAGAGTCCAGAAGATAAGGAAGACTGGATACTTAAAGTTTGACCTATAAGTTGTCGATTAAAATAACGGTAAGAGAAACATTGAAACTTACTTTTGTGATCAATTTTAAAGACTGAAGACTATACCATATACAACTAGGGGACATATTATCTGTCTGCAAAATACCGCCAACATTTTGGTATAAATATAAGATTATTTATATCTTATATGAGTAAGGACTCAGTATCATATTTATCATAATGGGACACAAAACATCAAATTTCGGGGAAATCAGATAAGCTATTTCTGTGATAACCAATTAATAAATAAAACCAGACATACATTTATTTAGTATTCTAAGAAACCTATGAATCACACAATTCTAAAAAATAAAATATATTATTGAAGCGTACCTACTTATTTATGAAATAGGGTAGGTATTAATTTTTGGAAGGAAAAAAAAGCACATTTTTGTAAGTTCTTATGTTTGTGGTAATCTTAAAATGAGTCGCATCAGACAATAACGAGACAACCAACATTTTCATTTTCTACGAGCTGCGAAATGACAAGGAACTATGAAACTTCGTCATCCATCTAAGTTAATCCATTACCAGCGTCCTGTAGCTATCACTGGGGCAGCAAGAACACTTTTTTTTCACCCATCAAACCCAACTCCTGAAATAAGATGAGATAAGGAAAACGATATTGCTGGCTGCGAAGACATTTACCGTGTCCCAAACTACTTTCGAAAAAAAAAGTAAGAGTTGCAAGAGGAGATAAGGGGTCAGTAGTTAATGTTAGGGACTACTTAGAACAGAAATTATTTTGCAGCAGTAGGTGAGCTGAATTGGGGTTATGATCTCAATAGTCCTTAATTTTGATTTTAAAATTTACTGTGTTTTAAAAGAAAATACAATTTTTCGTTCTTGAATAATAGTTTGGCCACCTGGTACAGTAGACAAAAGGCAGTGGAATGGAAAGATGAGTAACAAATATAATGCTCAAAAAATACTGAGCCAGTTTTGCCAAACAGTAAATATCAGACTGAGAGTGACGTAAAAGTAGTTTTATTTACAGGTGTGTAATAAGTGTATTAATTTTAACTTCTTATCATGTATCCATTATATGAATTTTATTTAGAATATCAACTTTTTGCAACATCAGAATAAAAAAAAAGTTTGTTTAAACAGTTTAACTAAATGATCTTTACAATAAACTAACACCTACAGATAGAACAAAAAAATACAAATTTTCAAAAAACTTTAGGTGACTGATTTTTTTTGTATTTTCCTCTTTTTCAGCACCAAAAAATTCATTAAAATAATTAGATATATTCCAGACAATTTGACACTTCAGATGACTCGGACGCCGTTTCCAATGTGATATAAAGCCTCTAAATGGAAAATACTTTCGGGTTTTTTCGGAACAAATATCTGGAAAATACTATACAACTTTTATCCCCACAACACCGACAACAAAAAATATTTGCCGACGCGTTTCACCAAACACGTTGCCATTATCTAGCCCAATCAGTTTAGATTTTTAACCCAAACTTTCAATTGACGGTAATCTGACAAGACGAACATTCAAAGACAAATCGTCAAAAATCCATGGCTCTTTGTGATCGTGTTTTTATTGTTCTCATATCGTAGTATAAAGGAGGAAACTGTATCCTAGACATAATAAACGAAAATTTTCTTAAAAAAAAAAATAAAAGAGTATACTATTATCGATCACTGGTTACTCAGAAACTTTGTCAAAAACAGACACACAGCTCATAACCAACGAGATCAAGAAGTATTTTCAAAGAAATAAAACTAGTTAATAATATTTCAGAAACGCATATTTTCGATAAGAAAAGTTTTTTGACTTTCCAAAGTAGATGCTTTACTGAACAATTTATGTCAGTGTCAGTATTCTTTGTAATTTACCAAATTGTGAGTATTATCCATTTTCCGCCATATTTGCCTCATAGAGACTTCTTGATGATGTTGCTATCTAATAATAACTATTAAATGTTGAAAATGTGTCCACAAAATTTTCAATAGTGCCTAGTTTTTGGAGTAAGTACATATATGTTGAAATATAATTGCAGTACAACAATTCGAACTAAACGAAAAATAATAATCAAATTTAGTAAGATGTTGGTAGTCACCGATGTGTTGTTCTTCTATATTTCGCTAGTATTAGCCTGCGTGCCTTAAGCATGTAAAGTTAAATACTTTCGAATAATCGAAAACGATTGAAAAATGTTGTACTGATGAGACCCAAAGGGACCGAAACTGCAATCTACAGAATTTCATTGAGTCGTCTGATCTTTAGCGGATTAATCAAGTCTTCTTCATATAATTGATGGTTACTATTATCACTGTTTAATATTTTATCTTCAGGGTTCCTCTGAAAATTAGAGATACATTTTATTTATTCCACTCATTTAACTTAAATTTTATTAGATTACCACATTCATTTGACTTATCTAACCTAAATCAGTGGGATAAATACGTTCTACATTCGTTTTGTAAGATTTTTTTTTTCATTTATTAAAATGGATTTTTTTGTAGATCAAATTTTGTACGTAAAGTAGACTAAAGCATTATTTTCATGTTCATATGGTTATTCAAATTGGCTGGAACTTCACTGGGTACAAGCTTCTTCCTTTCATTAGATAATAATGTCCCTATACCAGTCAGAAAGTAAATAATTACTATTACAGTTTGTAAGATGCGAAAGAGTCAATACTAAATACTTCTACACAGTCATTAAATGTGCGCTTCTAGACACTACATTAATGTATCGCTTATCAGAAAAGAAAAAAAATATCAGAGTTTTACGATATATTGGGAGCTATACACTAAAATTATTTTCAACAGAGTGTTATGTTTTTAAGGCGTAACACAGAAATTAGTTTTTTCAATTTTTACAATTTGTTTCTGTATATTTTTACGTATTCTGATCGACCTCCTCACACAGGCTTGCCACGTTATTCCAATTTGCATGAAATTTTTTAGAAATAAAACTTAATATACATACAGTAATAAAAAAATAAATTTCTGTTGTTTATAGAACACCTGTATTTTATAACTGCACCTTATTTTGTTTTTCGTCCCTTTTCTGTATTGTTAAGTATTTTCTATATTTAAAGTTGATAGTTATTGCTGTTTTAGGAGACATAGAGCTATATTAAAAGACAACAGTAAGTAGAGTAAGATGCAATAATAAAATATAAGGTGTTCTAATTGAAAAAACTGAAATATCTATGTTTGAAACTTGTAACATTTTAGATTTTTTTCACAACCACTATATATATTAATATTTGATTTAATTGATGGTACAACAAAGCGCGTGCCTTTGTTTATCTCTTTATAAAATATTCCAATATAGATTTTCAAAATAACATTATGGCGATTTTTTTTGTGAGATCTTACATGAAAAAACCGAAGGTAATTTTAATAACGTGCCAACGATTTATCATAATTTCAGAAATAAACTGTGGTTATTATAAAGCCTAGGGATAGGCTAATGAAAATATGTAAAAATATATAGGGTGTTCTGATTAAAAAGACTGAGTTGTGTATGACAAAAAAAAACACAATTTTATTATTTGAAAATAAATATCCGGACATTTTTTTAACTTTAGTTCAGAGATCACATTTGTACAATTATTCCGTTTAATTTGTCCTACAATAATCATCACACTGGATAAAATAATTCAATTTGAGATGTTCAGTTGTTACTGAGTGAGGCAGTGCGAGTAAATCTCTAGTTTGACAGGCTCCCAGGGTGTGTCACGATGCTGCCAATGGAGGTGTTGGTTAACTGCTCGAAGGTCTTCATCTGGATCAATTTGTGCATTTATTCCGTTTAATTTGTTCTACAATAATCGTCACACTGGATAAAATAACTCAATTTGAGTTTTTCAGTGATTTCTGAGTGAGAATCGAAGAATTTTAAATTCCTTTGACATTCTGATTGTCCATGGCTAATCCAAAGATACGATCGTCAAACTTGGACGGAACGTTTCGCGAGAAATAGGGCCAAGTGCTAATTTCAAAATACGATTTCTAAAGCTTTTTTACAGTGAACTGGTGTGATGCAACGATTTGAAAAAAATACTGGCCGATAGGCCTCCTCTACCTCCACAAATACATTACTCAGTAATACCTTTAAAGTTATGTCCAAACTTGGATGCGGCACCCTGTATACCTTCTGGCGACTCTGTATATTAGTTTTAACAAAACCAAATGATTAGGTAATTTTCTGATACACTCCGCAACAACTGATTAACCTCACCCTCAATTTTCTATATTTTAGCAGAATTATTTGCAGCTTTTTTAAAAATCATTATCTTGAATTTGAGAGCAAACAAAATAATAGCAATTCACGGATATTGCAATTTTTTTATATTTTCTTAGTTAAAGAAAAAAATTTGTATATAAAATTATTAATAAAAATGCGACAA